TTCACATAGCCTCAGAAGAAGATATTCCATTTTTCAAAAAAGCTACTGTCCTCTAAGACTCCACAGTCTACAGCCCTGCACTGAAGAAAATAGACTATGCTATCCCTGCTTCCCAACCCCACCACATGCACCCTTGCCTCAATTCCCTGCATATGCTACTCCATCCACCACTCAAAGAGCCACCCTCAGTGAGTTGCAAATCTAGCTCCTTCACTTGCTTGAGGTCTTTACTCTGAAGTCATCTCAAAATATGCCCTTTTACTACCCAACCTATCTAAAAATTCAATTTATTTCCCTGACATTTCATTTCCCTGCTTATGCTTTGTTTTTTCCTCTTTAACATTTATCAACATCTAATATACTATATATTTTCTCACTTATTTTATCTATTGTCAAGCTAGACTATGAGATTGTAGGCTCCATGAGTACAGAGATTTTTCTCCATTTTGCTGCTAGATCTCCAGAATCTACAAAAATGCCTGGCGCACTAGGATTTCTGAGTATCTGTGAATTTTCCTTAAAATGTCATTGCAATATAATATCTTGTTTCAAAGTAATATGGGAAGAGGTAGGAGGCAAGAAATTGGGATGTGGATAGGGCAGGAGCGACTGTGGGTTAATAACTCACTGGAGCTGGGCATTGGGCTCAGAAAGGATCCTTGCACTCTTTTGGTTACTGTTGTGTATGTTCACTATGCTCAATAATAAACATTAGAAAACAAAAATTTATAATATCAGTTATACTACAGTCTTCACCTTTCCTTACCTACCAACCAGAAACAACACACAACTGCCTGGCCAGATGGCAGATGTATCCCTGATTGTTTTCTCCAGTTAATCTCCTAAAAAGAGATGCTGTGTGCCAGGCATCAATACAGCACACAGAAGTCACAGTTCCCAAAGCCTGACTCTTATAAATATAACAAGAAGTCTTAGGATATCACTTTGGAAAATAATTTTCCATATGTCCATACCTTATGACCAAGAATTTACTTTTTAAAGCAAGAGACTAAAAAACACGATATTCCTGATAATGGATATCTCTAAGGGAAAGGCAGGGAGAAATAAATGAGCATGAGTAACTCTCTAATTCTTATATTAGGTGGGTTCACAGGTGTTTGATTTGTTATTATGTTTCATAAACCACACGGGCTACATGTAAATAATACTAGCATGCATCAACTATATCATATAAACAATCCTTTGATAGACAAATATATAAATATACCATAAATACAACAAAAATAATTTTTTAAGACATGATAATAAAAATACCTATTTTAACTGAAAGCTGAAATTAGCTAAAATAGTTGAAGAGGCCTTGTGTAAACTTCTGCTGTCTTATAACATCAGCCATGGCACAAGCCTGAAAGCACAAAGAAAACCAACCACCTAGGTTATTTTGGTCATAGGCAGCCCTCAGCAGCTACAGCGGATGAGTCAGATGACCTTTTCTGACAGTACATGCATGCCAGGCTGCCTGCAGAAGACAAAGCATCAACAGTCTCCTGAGTGAAGCACTCTCATCCCTCCCCCTAGGTTTTCTATTTATAAGCTCCTTAAAAAAAAATGCAGAAAAAACAGGACACTTCCCAGAGAAACCCAGGATGGTAGGATTTGTACACAGGAGCCTGAGAGAGGGGCTCACAGAGAATTGAGAGCCTAACAAGATAACAAGAAAGAGCCAAATGAGTGTCCCTCAGAAGACTCAACAGTTCTTTCTGCTCCTTGTCACACATATAAGTAACGTAACACCCAAGAGTCATTCCCTGGCTGGATTTTCACCCAAACTTGTGAATTTTATCAGGGAAGGTGGAGGCTGTGGTAAGTTGGGATCATGCCTCTGTACTTCAGCCTGGGCTACAGAGTGACTCCAACTCAAAAATATGTATGTGTAGCCACTGTTAAAAACTCCCACTGCTTAAGATATGATAGTACTAGAATAAACATTCATTCATCATATTTAGGGAAATTTGTGAACAGTTGTAAGGATCAAAGAGGCTTTTCAATAGAATGAACAAGAAAAAGACTTCAAGAGTCCAAGAGAAGAACAGAATGAATCCACAGGACTATGCATCATAGAATGATGTATTTCTCAAAGCCTTCTCTAATGGCACTAGAAAAAAAGAGACAACACGTAGAATAATTGGCAAGGAAGGTAAGATAAAGCAATAAAAACTCATCTGCTTGATTCTAACATCATTGAAATGGACTACCTCTGGAAATTCAATCTCTCTCTAGAGTTAGAAACAGCACTCATTTACAGGTGATATGGAAACATTTCAGAAAGTAATGGAAAAGAGCAGATACCCTGGAATCAGTTTTTCTGTGGTTTTATCCTCATTCTACCTAGTTTTGTGACACTAGGTATATGCCTTAATCTCTCTGTGCCTTCAAGTCATCTGTAAAATAAAGATAACTATGATTCCTACCTCATAGGACTATTGTGAAACTTAAAAAAAAAATGCACATAAAGAATAAAGCAGTGAATGACACATAATACTTGATTAATGGTAATGGAAACTATTAAATATGAGCAGTGGCTCATACCTGTAATCCTAGCACTTTGGGAAGTTGAGTGGGAGGATCACTTAAGCCCTGGCATTCAGCCTGGACAACATAGTGAAACTTCTTCTCTACAAAACAGTCAAAAATTAGTCTACATGGTGGCACATGCCTGTAGTCTCAGCTCCTCAGGAGGCTCAGGCAAAAGGACTTTCTGAACCAAGAAGGTGGAGGCTGTGGTGAGTTGGGATCACGCCTCTGTATTTCAGCCTGGGCTACAGAGTGACTCCAACTCAAAAAAAAAAAAAAGAAAAGAAAAGAAAAGAAAAAATAGCAACTATCATTATTGTTACCATTTTAGCACAGAAGAATAAGCAGATAATTGGCCATCTCTGAAGATTCCTATTAAATGCTTCAGAAACCAGCTCATAATCATTCATTCCACTAGGACCACCATAAAAATAAAGCAAGACAGGGCTAGAAGAGAAGAATCGCAGAACCCTGGAAGTCAATGCAGGTTATAGAGTGCCCAAAACATAGCACAGAACAAGGGAGTCTGAAGGTTCAGGGTATACATCAGACTCAATAATACAAAAGTCACAAAGTAAAAATGAAATGTTCATATCAGAAGACGTCCAAATCTAGAGACCCTCCCCAATTCAAAATTATTTTCCACTTTTGAGAGCATTGTTCTTAGAATTCATGTATGGATATGAGGACCTCTTCTACTATGAGCAGTAAGTAAGGGGGTAGGCTTACATAATTCTATTGTCCAAATAGCTGTTTTGTTTATGTTCCTAAACTAGAATGGCACAGAGATTTCTTCTTGATCCTTCTAATCCCTGTTCAATAAGACTTCCTACAATGATGATATTTGTCTATGTTGACCAACACAGCAGCCATTAGCCACATGTAGCTAGTGAGTGCTTGAAATGGAACTGATACGACTTAGGAATCTCCATTTTGTCTAATTTAAATTTTAGAAGTCACAGGTGGCTAGTGTCTACCATATTGAACAGTGCAGTCAATTGAGAGTGGCTATCTGCAGCACTGTATTGAAATGTATGTCTAGGCCTACCAGGAAAGAGTTCTGTGATAGATCAGTGACGTCTGTTCCAGGACATAGAAAGGCAATCTTTATTATATTTGCAGGCGCAGGTAAAGGATTTCCTCTCCTCATACAAAAAGAGAGCCTCTCTTTTCTAATACCAACAATGATTATTGGAAACTACAGTTATTTTTTGCTCTTGTTGTAAGAAATGATATTGGCTGAAAAAAAAAAACCAGATTATAACAGAAAAAGTATTTTAAAGAACTTTACCCAGAATAATATATATTGCTCCTCTGTACTCAGGGAAGATATATTGGTTTCTGGCAGGTTTACAGTACATAAAGTCAACACTGTGTTAAACTATCGATTATTTTAAGCTATTCTATAGGCCTTTCTTCAGTAACGCTACAGATGTGTGCGATGGACATGTCAAGATGATTAGATAAATAAAAATAAAAACAGATCACACATAGAGAGAGTAACAGCTTTATCCATTTTAAATACATAAAATATAGTGTCTAAAGCCATTGCAAAAGAAACCACCATGCCTGGGTTGAAAGTACCATATCCCCCAGCACTTTAAAAATAATACACTTTGCTTTCCATGAGAGGAACAAAACTCTAACATTTGATTGTTTCAAAAGTACACTGGACTGCCTCTATACAGACATAATCTTGGCCTTGCATGGATGAATCAAAAGATGCCACATCAACACCATCATCATGACAAAAATCAGAAACATGCATTATTATTTCCAGATCCCAATGAGAGTCTTATAACATCTTCTCAAGGGAAGGCTACCATAAACTCCCATGAAAATTTGGTTCCAAGATTCTCCTCAAAGCCTCAAATTGAGAATCATTTGAGATTCAAATATGTATAAGTAAATTGGCAGGGTCTTGGTATAACCACCTATTTCCACCCCAGAGTCATAACCCTGGGAAGCTTCTAGAATTATTCAAGCCTCTTCCAAACACTGAGATGCCCAAAGCAGAGTCAGTTAGTGCTGAATTCAACTGCTCTCAATGGAACCACACCAAAGCAATAATTTTTTTTTTTTTTTTACCTTCCTCTCTTAAAGAATTCACAATATCTACCACAGTAAGAGAATAGACTTCTCCTGATGTAATATATTATTTTCTGGGTATTCTATATATATATAAATAGACTCATCTTGAGGATTTCACTCAAGGAGGGCCAAAGGGGCTTTTACAAAAAGGTCTCATAGCTTGATTCCCAAAGAGCAGTCTAGTGAGACTGGCCTTATGGAAAACTTTTAGCTATCATATTTAAACAGAATCAGTCCAATTCCAAAATTAAAAAAGCTATCTTTGTTTATCTTCCATAAAACAATGGAACTTTTGCACTTTTTTTCTCAAACAAATACATAATATCAACTTTAAAAACTAACACCAGGAATTCAGAAATAGCCTCTTTTCTTACCTCTACCACTGTGGTTTCTGCAGCTTTGCACATGGGCAAGTTAAAATTCCTTGCACTTTTCCTACATTAGGGTGGGGGAGACAAGGAAACAGAGAAAGAAGACATAAAATAAGAAACAACTCTTTCAGCTTTAAAATGTTATAGTTTAAAGAAATTTCTATGAGCTAAGAGTCTTTTCAAAAAGAGTGTATTATATTTTCCATTAATGAAGTTTTTTTAAACTACCATATAAAGTTTAAACAATGGTAGCCACTTCCTTCATTTGATATAGTTTTTTTAATAGGGTTGAGGGAAAGAGAAACTACTTTTCATGTTCAACATATAGATAGAGACACATAAAAAATAATATGGCTATTAATAAATCTACCCTAGAGTGAATTTCTCCTCATCTTTTAATGAGTATGCTACTTTGTTCTGATAGTTAAATATTTCATTCAACAACTTTCTCTCCTTGAAATGTTAAGAAAGCAAGAGTAACAAGTGCTTCATGTGAGAAGGTATAGCAATTACATTCTATATTAAATAGAAGTCTATTGCTGAAGTTAAATGAAACATTCAATAGTCATTTGTGAGTCACCTATAAAGAGCATTCTGGAGAACCATTTCTAATGAAATTTTAGAAAGTACAAGATCCAGAGGTGTAAAAATTTCAAGAAGGTGCCAATTTTTTGGTTTTGCACTCTGGAGTTCAATTAATATAGTTTCCCTGACCAGGCGTGGTGGCTCATGCCTGTAATTCCAGCACTTTGGAAGGCCAAGGCAGGAGGATTGCTTGAGCCCAGGAGTTTGAGACCAGCCTGGGCAATATAGTAAGAATGCCTCTCTACAAATATCAAAAAGTTAACAGGTTTGGTGGTGTGTATCTGTAACCCCAGCTATTCAGGAGGCTGAGGCAGAAGGATTGCCTGAGCCTAGAGGGCAGAAGCTACAGTGAGCCGTGATCTTCCCACTGCACTCCAGCCTGAGTAAAAGAATGAGACCCTGACATGTACACACACACAAAATACATTTCTCCTAACCATAAAAATTAAGATGTATTTTTGTCTCTGGGAGTATATGTTCATAGAATTTCTTTGGTAGAAGGAAATAAGTCAGAGCTACAAGGGGGGGACCCAAAAAAACAGGATTTATTTATAAGAAATTATGTATTTATTCTTACATGTTTAATGTGCAGTCATCTTCAAACTACTCTCCATTTGATGCAATACACCTAATGAGATGCTTGATGCTTTTTCCACCGCTCACAACAGTTTTGAACTCGCCAATTTTGATGACTTTTAGTGCTGCTTTTTGTTTCAGCTCTTTCATTTTGGCAAAAACGTTTCCTTTTGAGGATGTTTTTCATCCAGGGAAACAAAACAAGTCACTCAGGGAAAGATCAGGGGAATACAAAGGGTGGGGCATGGGAGTCATGTCATTGTTTTTGGTCAAAAATTGCTCAACGTTCAGCATGATGTGGGCAGGTAAGCTCATAAATCACCTATCAAGAAATGGGCAAACGCTTGAAACATTCTCCAAGAAAAAAATTCACTGAAGCCGAACACAGTCTTGCACAACAATGCTAGCTGGTACACTGACACCAATGGGTTCCTAGAACACTAACCTAGTGGGAGAAGACTGTACTACAAGAGGCCCACCCCCCAAAAAATAATTCCATTCCTTTGGGTCCCCCACCTTTGTATGTTTTTGGGTCCTTTTAGAACACCAATATATACATTTTTTAGTTATGGTGCTTTTTTACAATTACAGACATTCCTAAAGATTAAAAGCATAAATATAGCATAAAATGTCAGAAATAAAAACTCACATAAAAATATGGAGATGTTTATGTAAAATATGCATCAACAAAGTACTTGCAGAATTTAAACACACACACTTCAAGATTAATTATTCCATAGAATTAATGTACAATAAGGTAGATGCATTCTCAGACCAAGACCTGTAACCATCAAGGAAATCTCTGCATGAATGCTACTCTTTAAATCAGCATTTTTTTCCCATTGAAATTTGCAACCTTATCTATTTTTTAAATTTTAGATTCAAGGGGCACATGTGCAGATTTGTTACATGGGCATATAGCATGAGAGTGAGGTTTGGGCTTCTACTGAGCCCTTAAAGTGGTGAGGATTTCAGGCCATCAGTATTTCTTTTGCTTGGATTCAAGAATGGATATAGAGAAAGGAGAACTCATGAACTTTCACAGGATGCCAGGTTGGATCCCACCAGACATCCAGGCATCAAAAGACCTAAGAGCAGAGTGGTCAGAGGCAAAGAAGTTCCAAATCTCCCACTTTCACAAGGCTTAAACAGACCTCTATACCAGCTGTTCCACTAAACGTGACAGTCATCCTAAGGTCACTTGACCCACTGGTGATGAGAATTTTCATTTCACACCAGAATTCAATAATCGCCAGCATAAAGTCGGTGCCTAGAATAGCTCTTTATGCAACCTTTAGATACCACAGCCAGGCTCTAGAGCACAGAATGAACACACATAAATATTTTAAATAACTCATTTCTGTTTGCTAGTATACAATTTCATTAGTTTTTTTAAAAATGCAACTAAGCATTTAAAATTACTATACAAATGTGTCAAATTAGATAGAGATGATGTAAAATGTCTTTTGCAATTGCCAAAATTAGTTGTACTCATAAAATCTGGCTAAATTCAGGAAATCAAAAAGCATTAATATCACATAAGACCTTCAGAAATGAAATAATGAGAAAGTAATTGTGATTGCACAAGATCTGTTTTTACTAAAGATTTAAAAATTGCTAATCAAAATGATATTATGATAATATTATGATAAATAAAATCATTTCTGTAAACTAATAAGTCTTCAAGACCAACCATCTTGAAAAACTCTTAGGCGTTTATTTAAATGTATTATAATTTTCCAAAATAACAGTATAATCTATAAATTCAAGATACCAAAGATTTGGTATGCTTAGGATGATATAAAGATTTACAATCTATTAAGTCTATGAATATTCAGATAGTGAGAATGAAAGTTCAGTATCACAAAGGTTAATCAACTTTTCAGATAGAATCTTTATAAGCATTACCTGGGAGACACCAACAGGACTGAAAAAGGACTGACCTAAACGATTATTAGCAATATCTTTCTAGAAAATCAAAGTAACTTTGACATTTTAAGACAACGCATGTAAATTACAATATCAAAACTGAATAAGAATGTACCATGTTGTCATGTTTTCTAAGCATGCAACTGGTTTTAGTCACTAAACTAGTCAGGAAGAAGAAACAATTGCATGTGACTATATACAAGGGTGTGTGGATTTAAATATTCTACAAGCGGTGCCACATGGACTTCAACCAATCTGAACAGACTCCCATTAGTACACCACACCAGCATGACTGCATAGCAGAATAAGTCAGTGCCTAGAATAGCCCTTTATGCAACCTTTAGATACACATGTACAGAACACAGGCACGTATGATCTTAAGCCACTTCTAAAATGAATTTTTAAATAGCAAACTCACTCTGATATCCTTTTTGCAATTAGAATTTAGGCAATACAGAGTTGCTTACATCTATTACACTAATATTTTTTTAAAACTATTACAATACCTGAAAGTCACGTTTCCTGCTCGATCTGCCTTCCAGGCTTTCACCAAAGCAAAATCCCCTGTAATTGCTTCCTCCAAAATAAAGTGCTGACCATTGAACTCCCTCACCTGCAAAAGACAAAAAGGGTATTGTCAGGTATTTGCACAGGTCTCCTTTGTAATATGTACTCCTTGTGATATGCACTCTGACAGAGGCAGATAATAGGGATAGAAGTCTAGCAAGAGCATGTTTCTAAGAAGGAAAGAGTCTCAAGAGAGACTTGAAGGATAAGTAATTTGAGGTAAGTAGGACTTATTCAAAGTGGTCAGGGGAACCTAAGGAATAAGAGAACAGACATGCAAAGGCCCAGCAACAAGAGAAAGTTTGGTGCATTTAAGGAAATGAAGGATCTACAGGCCTGAGGTATAGACTATGTGTGTTGATAATTCATTCATTTTACTATTTGTGTGTATAGGTTATATATTGAATATTAAAAGCAGTCCCTCTTTTCCTCCATTCAGGTGAGGGGAGGGAGAGAAACTGTAATTTGCACAAAATGGCCTACATATTGTTTTTGTACCTAAAATAGTTACAAAACTCCATTCAACTCTCCTTATTAATCTATAATGCATAATCACCTGTTGAGATTTTAAGTGAGATTCACAGAATTAGTAGATTAATTTGGAGGAAACTGACATGCCAATTCTTCCCACTCACAAGCACAATTGTATACCTCCAAGTACTGAAGTTTTCTTTGGCCTCCTTCAATAGTTTTTATCCTTTTCTACATAAAATATTTGTATATTTTTCTTAGGTTTATTCATTGGTGCTACGTGGTTTCTGTTGTTACATTTTTTATTATATCTTCTCTTCTGACATTACTGGTCTAATGGAAAGCTATCAGTTTTTATTTATTGCCTTTTAACTCTACTATGAATTTCTCAGGGAAAAACGTACGGCAAAACTATGCCTTGGCATTATGCCTCTTTTTCCCCCCTTGGGGGTTTACCTTTGGGAATTAAAACAAAGGAGAGAGGAAACTGACATCCTGGCTGATGGAGCCATTTGAAGACAGAACTCCATTCTCATCCCTGTTGCACCCCCTAGTGGACACACAGACTGAATGCATTTTATAGAAAATTTTGGTACATTTATTTTTTATATAACAGAGATTCTTTCTCAAAGAAAGCTTCTTTAAAAATATTATCGTAGTTTCCTGCTAGAAAAGATTCACACACTTAGGAAATCTTTAAAGAATGAGTATCTTACTAGTATATACCTAGGTAAATTATATGAAAGATATTTCTAAGCTGTAGATCAATATATAGAATTATGTTTTCAATGGCTTATGTATTTAAAGATCATCACTATAAACACCAGTGATGATAGTTGAGTATTTTACATACAGATCTAAAATACTGAAGTAAATATATGGCAACACAGGGCAAAATCAAGAAGTTGGCTTTTCTTTTAGATTCCAATTATATAATTTCCTGTTGCTGAGTGTTAGCTATTCTAAAATTTTAAACAGGAAGGAATAGGTTTTGCCAAACTAGCTATTACACTTACTTGAAAGACTTGTGCCACTTTGCAATCATAACTTCCTCACTTTTGACTCTTTCTTGAATCCACTCTAGTAAGATTTTCACCCCCTCTACTACAGAAAAAAAACACTCCAGAGATCACCAGTGACCTCCATTTTTTGCATCCAATGGTCAATTTCATTCCTCATACGATGTAATCTTTTCACTTTCAGCTGATCACTCCCTTAGATAATTGCTCCCTTGTTCTTAAAATTTCCCTTGTCTTTCAAATCGCCAAACTCCCCTGGCGACCTTCCTCTTCACTTAATAGTCACTCTCATTTTTCTTCTCTGCTCCTTCTCTCATCCCAACCTCTGTCAAAAAAGATGTTCTCTACCTGCACTAAGCCCTTAGCTATTCATCTAGTCCCATAGGTTTAAACACTGCATGCTAATAATGCTTCCAGAGCCCTTATCCTGGCTCTAAACTCTCCCCTCAGCTGGAGCCTACTGAGCACTTCCTCATCTGATGGACATCTCAAATGCACCATGTCCCAGACAGAGCTCATCCATCAGCCCCATGTCTCACCCATCTCAGTAAACAGTATCCTTGATTCTTCTCTTATACCCCACAACCCCCACAACCAATCCACCAGCAAATCCTACTGGCTCTATCATCAACATTTATTCCCACTCTAAAGACTTCTCACAAACTCCACTGTTTTTTTGTTTGTTTGTTTGTTTCCTCATTAAACTTTGTTTTAATGGGTCTCAAAATTCTGTGACAGATTTTTGGTCAAGTTGTTTCCATTAAAAAGTATTGATTTCAAAAACTAATAACTTAAAACTGCCACATGCAAAAAAACCAAAATGGTCCACAAAACATTCTCCTTTCCTTCTGAAAGTTTTATAATGCATTGTTATCATTAACCAGTCTTTTACTATTAAACTTCAATGGCCAGTTGAAACAAACAGTTCTGAGACCATTCTTCTACAACTGATTAAGATTGGGATGGCAGGTATTAGGGCTAATATTCATTTAGCCTTCTGAGATTTCTGGGCAGACTTGGTGACCTTGCCAGCTCTGAGAGCCTTCTTGTCCACTGCTTTGATGAAACCCACAGCAACTGTCTGCCTCATATCATGGACAGCAAAATGACCCAGAGGAGGATAGTCAGAGAAGCCACTGTTACCACCTGAGTTTAAACCACTTTCTGCTCCTACCTGGATTAATACAATAGCCTCCTAATATCTCTTGCTGTTTCTACTCTTGCTCTCCTACCAAAAAACTCACCAACAGTCTCAGTGATCTCTGCAAAATGTAACTCAGATCACAACCCTCTTCCACCCTTATTTACAACTTTGTTGGCTGTTTAACCACATTCAGTAAAATCCAACACTACATGGATTTAGCTCCTGCTTCTCATCAACCTCCATTCCTATCACTCTCTGCCTCTTGTACTTAAGTCTCATCACCTTGCCGTCCCCAGACACAGAAAGCCTGCAGTTGCCTCAGGATCTTGTATTTCCTCTTTCTTCTGACTGAAGCACCACCCTGCCTCATTCTCTTACCAAATATTACCTCCTCAGAGAAGTTTTTCCTGGCCACCAATCTGGAACACCATTTCCCTGGTCATCGATGACTCTTTGCCCTAAACCTACTTCATTTATTTTTTCCAAGCTCTTCCACTACAGACAGCATGTGCTTCTTCATCCACTGTCAGTTCCTCCACAAGCAGGAGTACTTGTTTTAGATCATTCACAATGCTTAGACCAGAGTCTGGCAAAGAGTGGGACCTCAGGAAAAATTACTAAATTAAGGAAATTGCTCACTTCCTCTTCCTACCACAAGCAAAGGGAATAAAGAGCTAAGAAGAACTGTTTCAAGAAATTGTCATATTCTCAGGAATTGAGAAAAAATTACAAAACTGTTCGTTTCATGCGCCTGACTCCAGTCAGAAATGAACCCAGAAAACATTCTAGTATATCATACTTTCCCAGAGACTGAATTAATGCCACAACTTCTAGCAAGCTATCAAAGTATTAACCCAATTTTTCTGGGCTTCTTTATTATATGCTACTAGAATTCATTTTAATAATTAGATTCCTGTCTTACTTTGTCAAAAAAAAAAAAACCCCAAACCCTTTAAACTTAATTAGGCAGTAAAGGAAAAAGCAAGCTAGAATATGAACTATATGTTAATAAAAGCTTTGAATCAATATAGGTCACTGTCAGCCGAAAGGAAGGTCCAGATGGAGGATGTGGCTGGAAACAAATACTGAACAGCAAAGGACATGTTCAATGACCTCTTATCTTCTCTCAGAACAGGAGGGATAGAGTCAGCATCCCTATCTGCAGAAAAGTGATAAGAGATCCCTTGATTTACTGTGTTCACTTCCCTAGAGATAAGCTCAACATTTCTGCAACCTGTATTAACTCTCTTGAGCCATCAGGACAAGGAGAATGGAATGACACACAAAAATACAGTCATAAAATATTGGCCTATGTAATTTTTGAAATTATCTTAAATCTGAGGATCTCAGATACCCATATCTGGAGATCTAATCTTCTCTAATATGTGAATAAAGCTGAAGTTGCCTACTACAAAGGTATCCCATCCTATTCAGCACATAAATAATTAAACTATTTTATTCAGTCAATAGCTCAAGTGTGTCCAGTATACAAAACATAAAGGTGATAATAGGAACTCTCTATTTATTCCATTATATAACTGTTCCCTGTTTTTCAAGACTGCAGACAAATTTATGACTTCCTTTTTTTTTCTTTCTGCAGTCACATCAGAAGGGGCCTGAGCATGAAGAGTTAAATACCATACAACCACTCTATTTTCCATATAAGCATAATCAGCAATTATAAATGTTCATAAATTTGTTAAAATCTACCATACAACTAGTTCAGATAACTAACCTTGATTAGTGGATCATATATGGATTACAGCTTCTTCCTATTTATTCTCGTTTCTCTATGTGGTTTTAATTGCTAACAGATGTTCAGATTTAGCTAGAAATTTCACCCAATGTATTACGAAAATGAGTGTTTTTTCTCACAGAGATGATTTTATAATTATTTACCCAGTGAGTCTACCCAGAATCTCACACAGAAAAAGGTATCCAGTGTTATCTGGATGAGTGTGCTTCTTACCTCTCTTGGCTTACTAGCAATGGCAATGCTGCCATCTTTGTTATATTTGATGGGTGCTCCTCCTTCTTGTACCAGGGTCCCATACCCTGTGCTGGTGTAAAATGCAGGAACTCCAGCGCCACCTGCACGAATCCTCTCTGCAAGTGTGCCCTACAAGTGAGCGACAAGTATTCCATTAAAACATTCATTAAGTACACATCTACCATATGGACACAGAAATATTTACAGACATGGCTTCTACTCTCTAGAAGCTAAAAAGTACATAGCATTGTATATTTGAGTATTTCACTAATATCACATGCTAGAAAATTAAAAAGTTACTGCCCCTCTAGATCCATTCTAAATCCACGTTCAAAATGTAACTGCTTATTTGTATAGTGATGCTTTCTTTCAGTCTCCAAATCTCCCAATAACCTCTTGACATAATATTCTGTACATGTCTAGTTTTAATATTTCAAATTAATTTTTAAATCTGAACTATGAAACTCTAGCTACAGATATTAGTGGACATGATTAAACTTTGTGTTTTATTGTAGGCTACACACGTGGCCTAAATCTTATCATTAACAATAAGTCAATAATGTAAAGTGTTCAAATTTGTTTTAGAATTTATTTTAAACCATTTTCATAAATATTTTAATCTACTAAATTACTCAAGGGAAAAAAAAAACAAAGTTAAGCAAAAAGTATAGCATACAGGTAAACTGATACTTAAAAACCAAGAGTATTTCAAATTTGGTTTCAGAGTAGAAATAGCTACATGCAATGTTTCTTGTGTCTTCCCATGGGTGGCTCTTCCTCTTCTAGGTTTCCTCCAAGGAATCAACTCTGTCCCTGAACATTTAAATCCTGACATCTTTCCTAATAATGAAATCTACTACTATATTCTTGGTACATCAGTCTTACTAGGTAACTGACTTGCTACTCAGTACTAAGAATTGGTTTAAGGTATTGAACAATTATCAAATACTATAAGAAAAGGATTGGCAGAGTAGGAAACTACGGCGGGGGAAGGGGGACATCTCATCAGCAAGGTTACCTGCATAATGAACATTTGCATACCTAACCCCTAATTGTACCCCACATCTTTAAAATTAAAAATTTTAAAAAAATTGGTTTAAAGTTTTAATGACAGTGTATTGCTCTATTGCTCATATTGCTCTAAAGTGAAAACTTATTTTCTACTTTAATGGGAAACTTTAAACTTAACTTAAAGAAGGGACTAAGAGTTGGAACTTCAGACATTGAATCATTCAAGTAGACAGAATATTCTGGGGAAAGGAGAACTTGGGGCTTCACTGAAAATCTTCCAGATAACTGGTTCTCTATCTAACGGACAGAAATTACTCTACATTGTGTTGTGAAGTTAATAACATTTACAAAAATTACCTAGTAAAAACCACCGTAAAAACCCCTCTACTTTAAAATGTTTTTTATGTTTAATCTCCCTGAATACATTACTCCTTCTCTCCATCACACCAGCAAAGGCTTGAAAATAGAATATTTCCACCAGCCCTCACCTACCCGAGGGAGTCCTGAGCCCGATCATCAACACTTCTCCCCCTAGCTCTCAGCTACAAAACAAGCTGCTAGAGTCATCGATGTACCACTAAGTCAGGAAGAGAGACACTGACCCCTTTTAAACACAAAATATATATATAGTATAAAATCAAAAACAAAAAATAAAATAAATATAAACATATAATATAAACATATAATATAAGCATGTAATATAAGCATATAATATAAACATAATATAAACATAATATAAACATATAATATAAACATATAATATAAACATATAATATTAAGGAAGCTCTTCTTCCATGTATACACCTCTGAAAAAACAAAAATTAGTGCAAAAGTTACAAAGTATAATTGAAAGGTTAATTTCCCATTGGGCCATGACCAGAAGAATATGGTATCTCAATCCATAATGTAAAGAGGAAAAGTATATGCCACAGACTGAACTGTGTTCCCTCAAAATTCATATGTTGAAGCCTTAACCTCCAATGTGACTGCCTATGCAGATGGGGCATATAAGCAGGTCTTCAAGGTTAAAGGAAATCATAGAGGTAGGGCCCTAATCTGATATGATTACTGTTCTTATAAGAAGAGACACCCAGAGAGTGAGTGCACTCTCTCATTCTCTCCTTGCCATGTGAGCACACAGTGAGAAGTCAGCCATCCACAAGCCAAGAAAAGAGCCTGCCCCAGAAACTGAATTGGCCAGCATCTGAATCTTAGGCTTTCAGCCTCCAGAAATGTGAAAAATACATTTCTGTTGTTTAAGTCACCCAATGTGCAGTTTTTGTTATAGCAGCCCAAGCAGAGTAAGACAGTGTAACTTTTTTAAAAAACTTTATATAAAAATTGAATAAATATCAAGCATGTGCAATGCTAAGCACACATGACGGTGCTGTAGAGTGACCAGATGTGACTGTAGCACAGTGAAGCCTCAGTTAGAAAGAACAGGCCTCCCATGAATCAAGCATATGTCATAACTATCAAAAACTCACAAAAAACTCTGCTACATTATGTTATTACCAACTTGGTGACATCAGCAATGATATTTTCTATTGACAAAAATAGAGGAGAGTGGCTCAGCTTCAGAGATGAAGGCAGAGCATGTCCACATGGAAGAACAACACAGACAACTGTGGACCTTTGTTTTACTCAAAGGCTTCAAAAACTTTGCCTTTCTCCATGACAAATTCTCCAATCAGTTAGGAGATAATGTTGAAAATGATTAGAAATTTGCTAGATAAAATGTAGTAACTACTTGCTTTGTAATAACATCCGTTTCCTGGAAACCTGGGCACTGAGCCCAGCGCGTACTCTGTGATGTAGTTAGCTTTATCTTCCATGGGCTTCACTCTCCTGATGTGTCTCAGCAAGACTTAGATCACTCACAAATTTCTAACTCTGATTCATAGAAATTGACTTTTAGAACTATCCTCAAACATTTTAGCAAGACCTTTAGCATGCTTCTGGCACACTATATATTACAGCTCCAAACTTAAAATCTTACCTTGCAGCCTAGATATTTTTACTAGAAACACCTCTTCTCAGTACACAGTGGCAGAAAATATTAATCCTCTAGCAATCAACTGGTGTAACTTATAAACAAAGTCCCTTGGTTTGACAAAATAGCATTCCCTCTCTTGTACAAAGAAAATTTCTAGGGAGAAAAACAATGTTTAGTAAGTTAGTTTTGTGAAAGAAAAGCAAGGAAATATTCTCACCTGAGGAGTCAGCTCTACTTCTAATTCACCAGCCAAGTATTGTCGTTCAAATTCTGCATTTTCTCCCACATATGAAGAGACCATGCGTTTTATCTGCTTGGATCGAAGTAAAAGGCCCAAGCCAAAGTTGTCAACCCTAGAAGGAACATGAAGGTAACTTACAATCAAAGGATCATCTGACATACACTATCACTTATATCTTTTTTTTAAAAAGATGAAATTTTTTTAATTTACAGAAAAATAAATCCTCTCTGATAGGATTTTAACTCACATCTTCTCTCAGTCCCCCATCACCCAGAGAACCTTGCAAGGTGACTATCCTTATTTTACGTTGAGGAAACTAAAGCTTAAAAGACCTAAGTGATCTCCACCCCTCCCCCAAGATCTTGGGCAGTAACGGACAAAGCTAGTATTCACACCCATGTCAGTTCTACAGTATTACTTCACGCCTTTTGTTATTTTCACTACTGCAAAGTGATTCTGGGTTAGAAGATAAGCAAAGAGATGGACTGATTTTTGTCCCACACCTTGGAGGAATACATACATGCAGTGGCAATATACTGACCACAAAGGAAGATTTGGATGGAGAAGCTCTTTCTATTCTAAAAAGGAGTGAGGGGTAGTCTCATATTTTAAAAAGATTAGCACGTTCACCGAAATATGAGCCAAAATTATAAATGACTATGAACATTTCCCCTGTATCATAGATATTTTGCTCAAGATTTATATACTTGAACATTCTTAACAGCAACAACAACAACATCAGCATATTAATCATAAACCTGTGAAAAAAGATTATAGGTAGCAAGAGTAGTCATATCTGCTAAATTATACACATTATGGTTTAGTATTCTATTATTTTAAAGTTGGGACCCAATTTATTCACAGAAATGACACATGTGGTGTCGGCTCTCTTTTCATTAGGTAAAGGTCTCCAGGTTTATGCATTTTTTTCTTGATTTCTATTATCTTTTCAAAGCAAAATACAGCTAGAATTTTATGCAAAGTTTGATGTGACAAGACAGATACATAATTGAATTAATACTTTTTTCATTTCCAGTCACCTTAAAAGACTGAAGGTCATCCTTTTTTCCACTCAGAAGTTTCAGAAATACTTTAATCAACTAGAGAAGATAACATTTCTAAGAATACTTCACCATAAGATATAAAACTATTTTTAATGGTGAAATCCATAATAAGATACCACCACAAACATGAAAGAATGACTATGTAAAAAAGAAGAAAATATCAAGTGTTGACAAGGATGTTAAACAACCAGTGTTCTCATATGTGCTGAGGAGGATGTAAATTGTACACCCACTTTGGAAAACTGTTATAACTATTAATGCTGAGTAAATCCACTCTGTGCCTATATCCAATAAGAATGTGTACTTGTATCCATCAAAAGAACATTCATAGCAGTACTGTTCATTATGGTCAAAGTTGAAGCCTCCCAAATTCCCATCAACAGATTAGATAAATAGTGATGTTTCCACACAACGAAATACGATACAGCAGAGAGAACAAATGTTCTACAACCACTAGCAACAATGGATGACTCTCACAGACAAAATGTTGAGCAAAAGGAGCTAGACACAAAATGTATACACTGAATTATTCCTTTCATATGAAGCTTAAAATCAGACAAAACAAATATATAAGGATCGAAAGTGAGGATGGTAGTTAGCACTGGTACTGGGAGAAGAGAACAGTGACTGGAACAAACATGAGCAGAGCTTCCTGGGGTACTGGTCATGTTTCATTTTCTTTACTTGGGACTTGGTTACATGGACGTGCAGCTTGTAAAAATCACTTAAACTGCACATTTATAATATGCTCACTTTGATAATGTTTTTTAAAGATAGAATTGTAGTGATAAAGGTCAGAGTACCTCCTAGAAAGAGAAATCTTTATTTGTCATCTCTCCTTCCTATTCCTCCTCTGGTGCTTTGATGCTTCTTCTCCTGTGGAGCTTGTGTCAGCTAGGTGGTTCATTCATCCAACAATCCCTGATGGAGTGCTTATTTTACTACAGGCTCTAAGCCTATATGAATAAGGCCTGGTCCCAGGCAGCTCCGTGACTGTTGATAAACATGTAATCTATAACTACAAACTAAGAGAATCTTGCTCAAAGTGTAGTAACATAGATGATAGAGAACCATCTTCTCCAACTGCTGGAGAAAAGACCAGAAAAAGTCTTCAGAAAGCAGCACTTAAAGCAAAACACACACACACACACACACACACACACACACACACACACACACACGTACACACATTTTGAGAATAGAGTAGGGGATGGAGGTCTTGAAGGAAAGAGGAAGACAGGCAGCTTTGCAAAGATGCATTCAGAAAACTACATATTGAGTGACTGGAATATGGACTGAAAGCAGAAGCAAGCAGGAGAGACAGAAGGCAGGCCAGGTTGTGATTTGCCTCATCAGATTTCATCCCGAAGGATACGAAAACCCCGTGAATAATTTTAAGAAGAAAAGTAACAGGGTGTACAACTAATTGGAGAGGTTCACAGATGAAAGACAAGGAGCAATTAAAAGACTTGAAATAGTTCAAACAAGCAGTGATGAACTCTTGAAAGGGGGCAGTGGCAATGGGAATAAAGATAAAGAAGGAGGGATAAAGGAGGGAAATTTGGAGGAAATCATTCATAAGACCTGTTGCCCATTCTGATGTAGCTGCAGACCCACTCCAGAATTCTGGCTTTAGCAATGAAATACAGTGGAAGAGAGAGCTGAGGAAAATTAATGTAATGATCATTAGGATACCTACGTGTTTGACCTGGAAAAGTATTAAGCATGGCACTCTGTGTGACAAGCCACTGACATTTCTCCTAACACCATCTTTCCTCCCAACTTCACTCTTCATCCTCACACCTACATGTGGCAATTCCAGCTCAATTGACTCCTTCCCAATTCGCAGAATGTATCATTTCCAAGTCTCTTCCTTCCCCCAGGCAGTCCTGACACGCTACATACCTCAAGGTGTCCACTTGACAGTTAACTGTCAACTTTCTCCTCGGCTTGCCTTATGAGCCCTGGCCTCCAAATACTGAACCTGATAACATTTTTCATCCACCATGGATATAAAAGCAATATTACATGACTTAATGTCATTTGTTTCCAAAAAACACTGAAGCCTAAGTAACAAGTATTTTCAAGAATGTACTCATGCTAAAATTCCCTGCAGGTTAAAAATACACTTGTCCACTAGAGGTCTCCAGATCACTAAGGATTCTCTGTCCTAGGACTATCTACTACATTATGATGTAAATGTCTTCCCGCTGTTTTTTGTTTTGTTTTGTTTTGTTTTGTTTTTGTTTTTTAACCTACTAATACCTCGCTAGGTCCCAAGTTCTAGTTACCAATTATATTTCCCCAAACTAGTTCCACCTGCATATTCTCCATCTCACCCAAAGGCAGCCCAAACCTTAGAGATACCCAGTACAAAACCAACGGGATGATCTTTAGCTTCTCTCTCTGAAACTCCACATCAAACCCATGAGGAAATTCTGACTCCACCTTCAAAACCTATCCAGAATCTGACCATTTTTCGCTCTCTTCCCCATGTTCTGCATCATCTCTTGCCTGGATGCTGCACTAACCCTCCCTACTTGTACTCCCCCCACAATCTACACCCAACATGGCAGCCAAAACGAGCCTTATTAAATATGTCAGCACATGTCACTGCTCTGCTCACAACCATGAAATGGTACTTGTTTATTCAGAGTAAAAGTCAAGGTTTCTAGAGTGGCCTGCAAGGATCCAAGTGACCAGACACCCTTTTAAGTCTCTGACCTCACTTCTCCCTTTTGGCTCACTTCTCTGACTCTCCCGGCCTCCTTACTGTCCCTCAGACACACCATATATTCTACCTGGAGGCTTTGCACTAGCCTTTCCCTGTCCCAGAAACTCTTCCCCAGATATCTGAATGTCTCACTCCCTCACTTCCTTCAAGTCTCTGTTCAAATGTCACCTCAGTGAGTCCAATTCTGAGCATCCTCCATTGAATACTAAAACCTGCCTCTCCACCGTCATGCTCCCAATCTCTTCACTTGCCCTTTTTCTCTCTTCAAGGAACATATAATTTTTAACCCAGTGGGAAATTTAGTTATTTGTTACGTTTACTACTTATTGTCTGTGTCTCCCCACTAGAATGTAAGGTTCGTGAAGCAGAGACCTTGTTCTGTTTTGGTCACTGTAATATTCTAAGCATCTGCATGCATAATAAGAACTACATAAATACCTGTTGAACATCTGTCAAATAAACGTATTGCTCAACTCTACTTTCCCCCTCCTCACCAGCTCCTCTGTAATCAAAATGGAAACCATCAAGTCATTATGCTGGATATTTTGTTTGTCCCTAAGGATCCATTATTCAACATCCAGCTTGCTCTGTGCCTGGGATGGCTGACCTATAAATGCCCTTATGCTCTGGTTTCTAACTGGGTTCATCCAACAGGAGGCACTATCAGGAGAACAGTAGTGAGAAGAAAATGTCAAGATTTGTGGTCCCCTGGCTTTCTCCCTGATAAGTTACAGCACATTAGGTAGTACTCTCCATAAGGTTTTCTTCTAGATCCTGATAACAGCTTCCTCCCTTCATCCCCAGGGCTGAGCTAGTGGTAAAGCCTCTCTGTTACTAACTCCAGGATTCTTTATTACCCACGTTGCTTTCCCTCAACCCTGACCATTCCATTAAAAAGGGTGCCTTTGGTAAATTTCTCAACTACCCAATACAGGAGTACCACTGCTGCCCTCTGGAGCTCAGATTAATAAAGTCATAACAGTAAAATAATTCACGAAAGTGGATATAGTCCATATTCTGTCCACAGTTTTAAATAACTGAAACACCCTCCAAGCTTACAGGTTCATACTAAACGGCCGAATATACCTGGTCATTCACTGGTTTAGGAATATTTCTAACTACTCTTCATATGGATCTGTTTGGCTTTTCATCCCATTACACATTTGAATTTGGCTCTGAAGATGACCTCCCTTTATTTGATCATGTCTCTAGGAACCACTGTGTATCTGTCCTGTTTTGCTTTTAGACTGGAATGCCAGTATGGCAGTTGTGCAGTGCATAACATGCTCCACCCAGGCCTCCACCTGACCAGAT